TTTTTTTTTTTTACTCAAAAGGATTAGCTGTGGCAGCCATTTTAAAGTGGGTTTACTCCAAAAGTCAAAGGGTTGTAGATGTGGATCCAATGGTGACTTTCTGAGCGTTTCGTTAAAATCCGTTCATCGGTTTAGGAGATATTTTGCTAACAGACAAAATATGAACGCGACAACAATCCTTTTTGTTGTTGTAGTTAATAAGAATAAATAATAATAACAAAAAACAGCTTTGTAGCCGATAGTTAATAAACGAGTGAACGGGTTAATGATGCAGGGTGAAAAGGCAAAAAGTGCTCGTGCCGCACTGCTCTGCAGCTTGGCGCAGTGAGGAGCACGAGGGAAAAGTTCAACTCTGCACAAACGTTAGCGCTATAAACCAGTAAGACCATCACTGTGTCCCCGCAGGCGGCTCCGCTGCTTTACCTTCAGTCCGTGTCATTTAGGAGTCTTCATCAGTCCAGTCCCGGAGTCGTCATCATCATCTTCACAGCAGATCTGACTGACTGGTTGACTGACTGGTTGACTGACTGGTTGTATGGCTGGAGTTTCAGAGCACCTCAGTCCTCAGAGGACAGGACACAAGCAGCTGGTGTCTGAAGGGCGCAGACAGGAGAGAGGAGGAGGAGGAGGAGGAGAAGGAGGAGGGTCACATTACCTCCTCCCCTCTCTGTCCTTCTAATTTACAACCACTGTAAAATAGAGCTGTGTAAAATAAATAAATAAAGGATCTTTCCTCTGATGCACACGGCTCAGGGTCCTAACAAACATCTCTGCAGGTTGTTTACTTTGTTGTGCCAAGATGTGAAATGTTCCCATGTTTTGTCCCTCGCTTATTAAACTTCAAGTAAATTAATTTATGGCATCTCAATGGAGGCACCAGGAGAGAAAGCCAGATATCCCTCTCCCCTGCCACACTGTCCAGTTCTTCCTGGGGGACCCTGAGGTGTTCCCAGGCCAGAGAGGATACAACGAGTTCTGGGTCCACTCTGGGGTCTCTTCCCAGTGGAACATGCTTGGAAAACCTCAAAGGGAGGCGTCCAGGAGGCGTCTAATCAGACACCTGAACCACCTCCATTGACTCCTGTCTATGCGAAGCAGCGGCTCTACTTCTAGCTCCCTGGAGCTCTTCAGCCCGACCACCTAAAGACCGCTGATTTCAGCTGGCGACAGTGGAAGGAAAAACTCCCTCATGAGGAAGAAACCTTTAGCAGAACCAGGCTCAGGACAAGTGGCCATCTGCTTCAACCAGCTGGGTTTGAGAGGAACAGGAAGGAAAAACAGATACACAATGGCAGGTCGAGAATCGCATGTTTAGAAATAATATCAAATGAAAACTATTCCATTATAACAATTTGTTTAAAGAAATGAAGTCAATTTGTCCTCTAGAAGTCTAAGCTTAAGGCAGCATAACAAGCCGACCTTAACCATAAGATTTATCAAAAAGGAAAGTCTTAAAACTGGACAATGTGTCAGCCTCATGGACAGAAACTGGAAGTTGGTTCCACAAGAGAGGAGCCTGATAACTGAAAGATCTTACTCCCATTCTGCTTTTGGAAACTCTAGGAACCACGAGTAAGCCTGCAGTCTGAGAGCAAAGTGCTCTGTTAGGAAAATACGGGCCAAATAAGATCTGTAATATAAGATGGAGCTAGGTTGTTGAGGGCTTTGTAGGTTAGAAGTAAGATTTTGAATTCAATTCTGAATTTGACAGACAAGACAAGATCCCATTCCACCTGTTTCTGGATGAGAACCATGGCCGTGCACTTAGAGGTGGATGGTAAACATCTTGCAGAATAAAATAAATGAAAACTGTTTATCTGCTTTTTCACATTTTAGTCCTAACTGAAACTTTAAATTGATGCCCCCCCGCCCCCCCCCCCACACACACACACACAAAAAAAACAAAGCTAGGTCTTCACAGACATATCTGTGAATGCTCATTCATGTTTTTATTATTTTTTCAGTCCATGGTTTTACCGTTAACTACGACATAGACCACATACCGAAAAGAATATATAAATCATAAAGATTAGTTTTATATCTTAAGAAAACGTGAGCTTGGAGTTAATGAATCCATGAGAAAATGTGCAGAAACGTATTTATGATTTGTCCACAATAACTCTAACTCAGTAAAATATCTAAAACTGCCATCTCTTATAGATTAATACTCCGGGAGAGAAAAAGCAGACATCAATGCCATCATTGCACCAACAGGCACAGTCATGGTCTCATTGCTTATTGTCTCCTGGCGGCTGTGATTTTAGCTGTCAAAACAGCCGTTTTACAAATGCTGGTTCAGTGTCACGAGCCCTGAGTGGAGGAAGTATCGGATATCGAGGTCGATTTTAGCGTGTTGGGGAGGTTCAGTTCTCTTGTGAGTTATAAATGAGATGCAGCTCTGGGGCAGTGGCAGCGGGTCCAGGTAGTATCCGGCCTGCTCCGCAGCGCTCCATTAGCTAAATGAGTTCAGTCTGTTTTACTGGTCTGAAGCTGTTTGGTAGTCAAAGCAGAGAAGCAAATGAACGTACAGTAAATATTTTAAGACTTCACAGATCGCGGCACACTTTGTTAATCTTGAAACACAAATGGGTTTTATATTCCCCTCTGCCTGTCTGGGCCATCACAAGAGTCCAGTGTCAGACGTAATGCTCACATCGAATACTTATAACAAAAAAGGTTAAAATAAATAATTTCATCTGGACCAGTTTCTTTAAGCAAGAAATGTTTCGTCTTCCATCCGGAGGACTTCATCAGTCTGCGGCCTGCCAACCAGATCTGTCCCATAAGCAGCTTTCATTGCTGTGTTTCAAGCCAACCTCCTGTTGGACTCTCAGAAGCAGGCTTTTAACACATGCAAAGGACCCACCCATCCAAAACAATCAATCATCATGTATAACAATCAAATGTTTTAGGCCAGATGGCCGACTTGCTACTCACAGAAACAGCCTAAGGACACCAAAGCCAAAATGGTTAGTCTTCTATCCGTCTTCTGGATGGAAGCCAAAACGTTTCTCCCTCAAAGAAACTGGTCCAGATGAAATGATTTAACCTTTTTTGTTGTTATTTACCTGGATGATTGAGCTTACAAACTTTTTATTTCTATTTTTTTAAATCAAATACTTATATAATTTTTTCAGTCAATTAAAATTTGTCTCAAGATTTTCAAATTTCTTAGTCATTCGAAATATAGTTCTCCATCTTCAACTGCTTAGGAGAGAAACCCTGACCTCCCTCTTTCCCAGAGACGCTGTCCAGCTCCTGATGTGGGACCCCGAGGTGTTCTCTAGAAAGGATTTATAAATCCTCAGTTCTGGGTCTGCCCTGGGGTCACATCCAAGTGAGACATACCTGGAAAAACCTCTGAAGGGTTTAAACCAACTCACCCGTCTCCTATATGTGAAACGGCTGTGGGTTCCCTTCGAGCACCTCTCAGCTATG